TTCTCCAATCATGTAGGAGCAAGAATCAAAAAAAGACCTGTGAAACACTTGCTACTCACTGCTCTCCGATCCTCGCTGCTGGGTTAGTTTGTTTATTTTGGAAAAGCACTAGTGCAATAAGGACTGCTGACAAATCAAAAAGATGCTTTAAAAGATTAAGGTGAAGAGACTGCAGCTGAAATAAAGATTTCAGAATATATGCTTATTGGAAGTTAAGTATTTTGCCCACATGATGCTTGGAGTACTGCCTGATCTCTCAGTATTAATAGCCCTTTGCACAGAACATTCCTTGCTATCTTCAAAAAATAAACTAATACCTTCTCATCTCAAGGTCAGTGGAAAACAAGGATAGCAAGACACTGATTTGATGAACACGCAAATATGTGATTTTTTTAAAATGAAGAGGTAACTGATGTAATCTTTTGAAGTTGACAGCTTGATACTAATCAGAACTCTCCCTCATCATTCATGGTAAATAAGCAGAATGACACATCAAATTTAACAATCCAGAGCCATAACTTTTCATCAGAAGTCTGTTCAACACACCACACAACCATCACATCTAGATGTGCTGCCAAATGTCAAAGGAGGAAAGTAAGAAAGTAATTTTGCCTTTTTACACATGGTTAATCTAAATCTCTAAATTGGAAGTTGCCATGAAAATTACTCTGAGAGTATCTAATTGAAAAAAATTTTAATTTCAACTCTTTAAAAAAAAAAAAGCCACAGCTGCAACAAAGTATGGTAATATTAATGAAAGCATATCTGGCACTCATTCAAATCTCTGCCTTCCTCAGTGCTGTGAAAAGAAAAATCACTCCCCAATGGAAATTCACCATTTTCACAGAAGTAAAATTACTCTTCTCTGTAAAAATGAGCTTTCATCATTTGCATTAAATGTAATTAAATAATGTAATTAAATTGTTGCAGTAACTAGTGTATCTCTGCATGCTATTTGGCTCCAGGAATGCTCAGTACATATTTGAAATCCAGATTGAAAAGAACTATATTCATAGCAGAATTCTGCAATGTCAAATAAGGCTACAATGTTTGTTTAGATTTTAAACTAACTTCACAAAATAAGAGGAGTAGAGATACATGAAAACAAGCAAACAGATGTAATTGTGACATATTACAGAATGGGAAGCAAAATATTTAAAAAATCTTTTAACAAACAGGTAGCAATATGTCCTTATGAAGGACACTGAATCAAAAATAAATCACAACACAAGAAAGAGAAGACAAAACAATCTGTAAGTGATCTCTCCTACAAAGAGGGATAAAATTTCTTCCAGTGAATAAATGCCTTTGCTGACTTTTACACAGAATTTAAACTTAATAGCAATACAAAATGATGTTATTGATTCTTATTTTGCTATATATAATGATGAAATAGCGATTAAGATGTGTTTGGTACTGCAAGAGAGAGAGGCCTTATTTGTAATAGTAATAACTAAAGCCAAACATCATGGAAGTCAATGGAAGGATACCTATTGCTCGAAATGGCAGACAGGTAATTTAGAGTCCAACCTAGAAGTGTACCTACCTGGTCTACAGATGCTGACAGGCAAACACTGTTACCACTGGTAGTACTCCAGTTCAAATTAACCACTTATGGAGCGGAGTGCCAAGGATGCTTTATCGTGAGTTGGTCTGTTCAACTTTAATTCACGCCAGTTTCCACAGATATCTTTCATTGGTTAATTAGGCATCACGCCAACAAACAAAGGATTTAAAAAAGATGCACTACATGTGAGTCATTTGGAAGCTACAGTATCTGAAAACTTTTACCTGTAGGTGAAATATGGGCAGGAACTGAGAAGAAAATTTTTGTCTGGAGAATTGTGCACGGTGCATTCTGCAGCCACTTCCTCGCTGGAAGGGCACCCATGTCCTTAAAGTCTCACAGCACCCAGAAGAATTGCTAGTAACACTTGGAAGGGAACAGAAACACCCTTTTATCCTACCAATGTGTCACTTCTGTGCCTTGGGGTTATTTAAGAAAAAATTACAGTGATTCTGGCAACTTTCCTCCTCACTGTGGGGAGGCGTACTTTCAGCAGAGTTATTTTGTTAGTTATTAGACTATCAAAAAAGAAACTCAAAAAAGCCCTGTACCTATTCACTTTCATCCTGAATGAAACTTGTCCCACCATCTTCAATCCTGAGTAAGTGTAGGAAAGCCACGTCTGTACATGTGGAAGGAAGCCACATTCCCTTAGTGAGCTGCCCCAACCAAGCTCACTCATAGTCCTTAATTAACACCCCTTCATCCTATTGCATCTCAGATCTATTTGCACTTCTCTTCTTTCAAGCTAGATGAAGCAAAAAAACATGTAGCCAGAGGACTAGCAGCAATCACCCTGCAGAGATTCAAAAGCAGCCAACAGCTCCTTCATATAGACAAACTTAGCTTAACTAGCAAAATATGCTGTTCCATTATATCTGCCCACAAGTACCTCACCAGGCTGATGTTCTATTCCAGAACAAAAATTACTGGCTTTTTACTCCACACTCTGATAATTATTCTGGAATTTAATGAGTTTTTATTCCAGAGCAGAGTTGCCCATCAGGGAACCATTGCAGCACAGATAACTGCATCAGAATAAGCTGTGGCAGTGTATGAAAGAGAATTTCCCAGCACAGAAAGCCCAGCATCTCAGAATCCCTGAGATGTTATCTCTGACCTACTTTGCTCAAAGTACCATAGAGATATCTCCACACAGGCATCCAATTATTTGTTGAAATCAACAAGTACTTTTGTGCTACACAGAATTAGTACAAGCTAAAAAAGAGAGTAGAGCAGGATGATAGGTGGAAAGAAGTGTTCTTTCTGTAGAATTTGCAGCACAGGAATTGATTTCACAAACATGCTCATCCAAGCAATGTAGTTCATTCAGTAGACCATCAACTCCCATCAAAGAGTCATTCTTAACTTAAAATCAGCATGCCCATAACAGCAACAAATGAACGGAAAAGAGCAGAATAGTTCTTTAGAAACAGCCCAGCTGCCTCATGCATCCGACACTGCCACATACAAATGTTGTCATTGAAGGGGAAGAAAATGCCAGCCCTGAAGCTGAACACCACAGTTAGAAATGGTCACCAAAACCTAACTACGTACCATGCAAACGGGGTGACTTGAGACACTAAGCACATTCCCAGAGAAGACCACGCCGAAAAAGGACACTTCTGGAGTTCTTATAATATTTTCAAAAGCAACATGCCTAACAAAGGATTTTACAAGGCAATAAAACACTCCACTAGGTAATTAAATTCTCCCAAGCCAGCTTTTGCTAGCTGCATGCTTTATTACAAGGAGAGCTATCCCAAGGGATTAACAAACTTTGTGTTGAATATGACAAACTTTACTATATTTTTCTGGTCTTCTGAAACCTTGTAAAATATTGCAAAGGTTTGAGAGATAAATTTAGAACAAGCTGATTTAAGAAGAATAAGTTCCTAAGTATTCCAGTAAATGGGGTGGTATAATATTACAGGAAGGGTCACTTTTACCTCAAGAGCACAGTAAATCTCACAGTCAGGAAGTCCACTCTGGTGCAAATTGGTGCAAAATTTAGCTCAGTTAGTGCAGTTTTGAAATTTGCTACCATTTAGGGGACAATAATGTCTCTTTCTCTGATTTGTGAAAATTAAAACCTTGATCAACTGACAATACAGGAACCACAGCACCTCTGTACCATAAGATACTACTTCTTAGAGTAGCTCTGTACCTTTGATAAACTATTGAGTGAAAGAGGAAAAATTTCTGATTTGTCTGATTAAAAAATAAACAAACTAGAATTTTGTGCTAAATTAAATTCTTAGGTTAGACTGGAAAGAAATTTCTTTTAATCTTTAAAAATTACATCCCAGACCCTGAGAAACAGTAAAGAGAAGGCAATATTACTAATTATTTTAATATTTATTAGAAAAACATAATCAAAATAATACTTTTAGGAAAAAATAATTCTCCTTCTGAAATCACTTATGGTATCCTATCTACTTGCAGAAACAAGATAAAAAAGGCCCATGATTACCAAAACCTTAACATTTAAACAGTGCAATTTCCAGGTTCTAACAACAAATTCTGTAGCTGTAACCAATCAAACATTTCCACCAGCTGCTAAGTGGGGAGAAAGACTCTGAAACCCGAACTTCTCAGAGCATGATTAGTTAGTTAGTCCACTAAATACCAGCCTTCTCCTTGTTGAAAGATATGACCACCAACTGAAAATGAAACAACAGGGCAGACAAAAAGTACAGCACAGGTAGTATATTGATAGAGAGCCTGAGGAAAAGTATGCACATATCTTTTCAGGGGGCCAGAAAGCATGGGCCATATAAGCACAGAACTAAACAATGCCTGGTTTCCTTAGGATTTATTTCTGATTATTTAAGTCTTTGAAGTCTAACAATACAAAAATGGCTTTAAAATTTTTTTCCCTATGGGTGTGATACTTGAAGTTTCTCTGTCCCTACTGGATTCTGTAATCTTTAATAAGAAAATGGATACATTGTTCAAGCTTGAAATGTTCTTCTGCACCTACCTGCCTATTTTAATGAACCTTGCAGAAATACGGCATCTTTGAAACTATTATATTCAGTCTTAGTTGAAATTAGTCGACAGGCTTCAAATTTATCATTAACACTGTCAGGCTTAAGCAAAGTTATGTACAGAGGAATACACAGAGTGGAACCCATTAGTTTTACTTCAGCAGGCACCAAGGCTGAAAACACTTAAAAGAGTCACGGCAGAAGGGACAACCCACTCTTCCTTCCCCACAGCACTGAAAGGGCAGCTAGTTACCTTGCTCCTTCCTGTTAGGCTAGAATTGCAAGGTCTGATGTTTTTATCCCCAAACACAAGTGAAGGATATCAATTATTTACTAAAATATGCAAAACAAGAAGCTTTCTTCTCATTAGCATAGAGTTAACAGGGAGAGCATTATGCTATGACTCGCAGCAAACACACATGCTATAGATGACATTTTTATACCCTGATATATTGTGCTGCTGTTGCTGTTAAGATACGACTCAACCAATGGCGCCTGCTCCTCCGAGTGTTTCGTCCTGCGCGTCCTCGTCCGACTGTCCACATTGGACTGGACCATTAGTGGCTCCTGGCGCTTTTTTTTCTGCTTCTGCTCTAGCAGTGCCCGCTGGAGAAAACACAAAGAAAAGCATCTGTTACTGGACTCCAAACGGTAGCAACCTACAATGAAAACCAATGGATATCTTTACACCTTCTCTGGTTTTACAGTGGCAGCAGTTGGAGAGTGGGATATTGGGTAACAGGAAATCTTTCCAAAAAACCACGACTAACCCACTGCTAAAACACCTTCTGCTGAAAACAGCAAATAATTAGAATAGATCTTTCTGAGCAGTCCAGCAGCTGTTAGAGCTTGCTTGGAAATAACCCTTGGGAAAACAACAGTTTGAGAATACTGGCTGTGAAGCAACGGGAGGGTAAGCAAGGGTATAAGGCAGAGATGCCAATTTCAGTTTCTGTAAATTAAAAGCAGGTGATTGCAAACTAGAATCAAGTGATAATACTGGACATGAGCCTAATTTAATAGCTATAAAAGATGAACTTTAATTAAACACTTAAATTTCTCAGCTAGACCTGCTGAAAAACAAAACCTTCAGCATTCAGTGGCATCATAGGTAGCTCTCTTTGAGTCCTCTTCCACAACCTTAGATAACTGAACTGTTAATTTTACTTATCTATTACCTTACCATTTGCTTGCTTCTGCACAGTGATAGTTTAGCTTGTAGAAAGGAGATGCACTAAAACTGAAGAATAAGAATGGATAGTGGACTCTTTCAGCACCATAAGTTATGCTGAACACCTCAACATGACTCCAAAGTAATTAGAATCAAGTACAGGATTATGGTATAAATAGAAGGTATTCAAATTTGAAAATGAGATGCTGGTAGGCATGCAAGCTGATAAAACAATGGGAAAAGAAACGTATAGGAAAGGATAAAATTAAATGCACACAATTTAACTATAAATATGACAAAGTTTTTTGAGAAGGGCACCACAAGAAAATCAAAGTAAAAGCGGAAACCTCAACTCCCATTAAAACTTGATGGCAGAATTCTCTCAGATTTCATGGAAGAGGTTCTGACTCTCTTTCTTGTAAAAGTCATGTAGTAATACAGTAGCAAAATAGGCAACATAGCACATAGTGCCACTAGGTTACAGCCACAAGGGCTAGACTCATAGAATGACAAGCCAAGTATGTAAAATCTTTGTGGTTAACCTCTGTTGGCTGGCATGGCTGCAAGAACCTTCTGTCCTTTCTGGTCCATCAGCTGGGTAACAAATACATGGTAAGTCAGCTTAAAATGAGTCCAACGCAGTGGAAATGAGAGTCACTCAAACCACAGTCATAAGTCAAATTTTAATGGCAATCAGACTTCTAAATAAACTGCAACCTCCACAGATCTCTCTGTTGCATTTCCCCACTCAGAGGATGCAGCCTCCTATCAATTATCAGATACATGTGTCAGTGACTTCATTACTCCAAGATCTATACTTCAGAGAGCAAGAAGGTTCTCCTCCAAAATCTTACCTGCCTGTCAAGCTTCTGCTGACGCAGGCTGCTCCCCTCATCATCCAGAACACTGCAAAGACAAAGGGCACGTAATTGGAACAAATTTATCACTCAAAACAACACTCAACAGCAGTCACTGGAGCAAACCCTTCCAGGAGTTATCCATACACAACTCCCACTATGTTCCATGGAAGTTTGCCTGCCCTAACCCGCAAAAGTTGGCTCCAGAGGATCTAAATGCAGTCAATGAAAAATTGAAAAACTCTGACTCACACAAACTTCAACAAAACTATATATTCAGGAAGTTCAAAAAGAAATAAAAAAATCCATGGTCTACAGCTTGGATTCTTCTCCACTGTCTTCTAATGTAAAACACCAATGTATACAGCAATGGGGTTTGATTGAAAATTTGCATATAAAGCATAGAAAAAGTGAGAAGCGTAAGAGAGCTGCTTAGCAACTCAGCAATATTTAAAATTACGTTAGGAAAATTAACTGTCTAATCTTTTGCACACTGAAAACTATAATTTATTCCTGAATATCTGAAAAGTCACACTTACTGCCACACACTTCAACATTTACAGGCTGGCAAGATAAACAGCATTGCTCACTGCCATATTTCTTTCTGCTAACTGTTGCTAGTTGGGAGATTAGCTCCTGTGCATTCAATCATTTTCATTAATTAGATGTTAAAGACAGGCATTGAAATCAGAAAGCTATTTTTGTGAAGTATTTTATCAAACTACTGACTACGCTTTATTTTTCAGGAGAACAAAGGTCTCTATTGTAAGAACACTATGGTTAAACATTGAACATAGATAATTAAATCTTTTAAACAGTAATATGTCATCTACAAGGAAAATAGCGCTATAGAACAAAAACAATAGCCTCTTACAAGTAGAGTTCATTTTCTCTTACAATACATTTTTACAAAAGGTTAGTCCCTTCTCTTATAATCACTCTCAGCAATCAAAAAGAAAATTAAAATCCAGGACAAACAAACCTGGATTCTGACCTACATGCAACCCAACTGTATTGCAATGAAAATTTCATAAAAAATGTGAATCCCATGTATTAACATACACTCTTTAGGAGCCAGTAACATTATGGTAGGGTCGGATAGGACAGTTAATAAAGGCATGCAGAATGCCACCTTTCTAAGGCCAGCATTATCAGAGACATGTAATTAAGCATTCCTGGTAGCATCAGCCTTTTGCAACTTATACTTGGGTTATTTGTTACAAAAGGCTGATGTTCCACAGAATGAAACTATGCTGTTCAAGTACCTCAGGTATGAAATTACACAGTCTCTTGCAGAGGTAATGCATTACCCACAGTCCACAAAAAAAAAAAATTAAAGAAAAAACCCTTCCCACCCACAAACATGTTCTGATTTACGTCAAGCATTCTTAATTTGATAAATTACAGAAACAAGTTATAAAAAGAAGACATACATTCCTCCATAGTATACAGTATCAGGTTTTCACAAGAGTGCTTCACTACAACTGCAATACTTATTAGCTGCACTGCTAGAAAATAAAACTACCCTAATGGATATCTTTGGTCAAACAACTGCGTAAAAGATGCCCAAGTATAAAGTTTCAGGCTTAATGGCCTGAACAAATCCTTCTCGTTTCAGACAATGCTTGATAAAAAGCCAAAACCATGTAATGATGCTAATAAAGAACAGAAGAACTGCAGAGGCAGCAATGCATATACCATCCTGGCACAACACACGGAATAAGGGAGCAGGGAAATGTTCTTTGTGTGGTTCTAAACCTTACCTGTGACTCCCTGGGAAGCCACAACAAGGTAAATTCAGGTTCAGGTAAAAAGGCACAGCTCCTTCAATTCTCTTTATGTCCAACCTTGGCATGGTAAACATGGCAGTTTAAATAATACAACAGCAAACCCCAATCAGGGGAATGGTGTAATTTGCATTGATTCAGCATTCCACGAATGCAAAGCAACTATCAGACAGAAGAGAGGACAGCCAAAAAAGAATAAAACTCCATCCAAACACTATGGATGCAGTGACGCTATAACACCTCTCCACCTGCCCTTCTACTGCAAGACACTGCTTTTCAAGTCTCTGAATATATGCAATCAAAGCTGAGACTAAGAACAGTGTGCTTTGAAAACCAGATGACAAGCTCGTCTGGAACTTCCAGGTCCTTCATTCTCCCACTTCGTATTTTATAAAGTTCTGGGTAGTTTTCACAATCCTGTTGTAAATATGCAATGACAAGCCTTGCATTATTTAAGCTTAACATCCAACAACTAAAATGGAACTCCAGCTTTCTTCAATGACAGTGAGGTTCAACAGAATAGTTACTTCAACAGTCCTCTCCCCCTCCAGGTTACTGGACTTGTATGAGCATGCCTTGCTCCCCCCAGCCAGCCACATCACTCTTCCAAATCCTTCACAGTGTAATTTTAAAAAGGCCTCATTACCACCAACTCTGTCTCTTTTAGAAGTTACTCAATGCCAGTATCACTGAAAAGTTGTAATTCTGTCCTTTTCTGACGCCTAAATAATGCTTATGCAACTCCAAATACAAAGAGGATTCAATTTAGTCTATATATTCTTCTGCTGTAATAACACAGCACTCCAGTTTGAGACTGTAATTTGTCAATATTTTCTGCAGAAGTAGTGGACCTTGGAGTTGCTGATTAGCAGCCAACATTTCACTTTCCCTGATTTTCAATAGAAAAACTCTCCTAAGACTGGGTGACGTCCAAGATATGCCATTAAGGGACATCAGGGCTTAAATACATGCATGCATAAATAAGTGAGTAAATAAATAATATAAGCTCTGTTTCCGTAGCAATTCCATCAGGTTCTCACTCTATCTGCCTTGAAAAACATCTGCAGAAGAATCTGAGATGGAAGTGTGCAAGCACCACTGACCCTTTTTCTCACACTTCAGTGAGTCCTTGCAGAAGGATTTAGCAGATCATCTTGCCACAGCATCTGGCAGTCCATACATTCTGTCAGATGCTCCAGGGTCTAAGAACTGAAATCCAAAAAACTTACCCTTTTCTTTCATTGGAAAACACAAAAGTGTAGGAGCAGATGCACAGTCTTTGCCCTTCCTGGTCTTTCAAAAAAGCAGAATTCAACTGCTCATCCCCATGGAAGAGTTGTACACTTCTGGTGAGGACCCAGCCTGTCCTGCCCAGTTTTGGAAGTGGTCATAGTTTTGTTGCTCTGAGGTCCAAATAACTGGGATGGTCAGAGAGTAAAGGCCCAGTACAGAGGAAAAACTGACTAGAAATGGCAGGAAAGACGGCAAGAAATAATGTCATAGAGAGGCTGTTAGAACAATTCTGCCTACATGTTTGATGGGATGCTAGAAAATCCCAGGAGCAGCATGAAACTCTGTCAGTCTTAATAGAGAAATATAACTTTATAATTCATGAAAATTGAATTATTGAAGAGCATGCATACATATTAGCAATCTGCACAGCACGCTGAAGTATCCTGAAGATCCAGTAAGGTTCATTTTTACTCCTATTTGATCAAGTACCGTGCCTGGTACCTTGGCTACGGCTTTGACCCATTTAAAACAGAAAGTCATTTGACACTATATATAATATTGTAAACAGCACTTCAGCTCTGCAGTAATATTCTAGTTCAAATCCTGTTGACAAATCAGAGCTTGTATATATTTCCTCGCAGATCATTATTCAGGGAAAATCCATCCATCCATCTATATCAAACTTGAACAATCCATCCATTACAGTTTACTGGATGTTGGGCTTAAGAAGTCAAGCCTATAGCTCTGTATGGTAAAGATTCAAATTAGCAGCCTGGACCAAGGCACACAGAGAGTTAAGCATTATATTTAGATACTATTATTTTCAAATTTTAAATACAACACCCCATTCAAATATCCCCACCTCCTGTTTTCTAAAAGGAAATACATTAAATGAACATTCACCTTTGTGTCAAAGTATTACTTTTCATACTACCTCTTTAAGATACAAAATCTATTTTACTGAAACAGTTTCAACATTAAATTCAATCTACACAAAAATAGTCAGGCCTATTATACTGCTGCATGTCATAACGAAGATAAAAATATACACAAAAATTTTAGTATTCTCAGTTTTTCATAACCTCTGCTCCTTAGAAATCATTTAGAGAGAAACCCAAGACCTATCAGGTTTTAAGGATGAAACTTCATGATTACATGAAGCTCCACAATTTACTGCTGAGATGAAGGCAGAAGATTCTGCAAGTCAACATCTTGCTACATTTTACTGTAATTCCACATGGACTGATTTCAATTTAAGTAAAATCTGAAAAGCCTTAATTCAAATAACACATTTCACAGCAAGTACTTTGCCTTCACTCTTTGAACACGCAAATGCTTTCATTTCAGTAAGCCTTTGCAAGAAAAAAGAATTAAGAAGAAATGTTTTTAATTAGAATGTCCAAGATGCATGTAGTCCCTGATTTTATTTTATTTTGTTTTTTTTAAAAGAAAAAGTCTGACACAGTAAAACAGCTCTATTGTTTCTGCCTGACAAAGAAGGCAATGCTTTTGTTCCTTCCTGACACTGCTTCATAAAGGAACATTTTCCATGACAATAACGTTTTTACCAGGACAAAGGTCCAAAGTCTTACCTAGCACATCTCTGCAGCCCAGCACTAATTCAACCAAGAAGTATAGCTGGTCACACAAGCAGACACATCCTACCACTACTTTCATACACTGTTTAAGAAGTGTCACTTGCATTTTCTCTTTTTGCTACTTCATGACAATACATTACTAATGGCAGAACCCAAAAGCTCTATGTGAAATCAGGGACCTTTGCACAAGCAAAGTGAATGCACATAATTAGGGAAAATTCCTTAGGCAAACAGTTCCATTATGAAAAGATGAGGAATTGGATAAGAAAATGTTCCTCCCATTTAGAACACTGAACCAGAAGCAATGGAAAATTAAAGGAGATATTTTCATCTCGAGTTTCTTCTGCCATATTGTCAATTGCCATCCAAAAACAAAGGATGATCAAACCAGACAGAAAGAAAAATACACCAGACCAATCTTCAAGATCACT